CAAACACCATTATTGATTGCATTAATATTTTTCACAGAGATTTAGACCATGTGATTAATGAGATTTTAAATACACCGATTTATACTACATCATAAATCAATCTTTACTATGTTGATTTCTATAAGCCCTAACTTTTCTCTTATACCAATTGTTGGGTTTAAATAACAAATAACAAGTAGAAATCAAAATTGATCATGAATTAAATAGAGGTTTTTGATATCATACCTGATTCGAAAATTAAACTTTAGATACCTTTGCGAATTCCTTATCGCCCTTTGAGAGATCTGAAAAAATAAAACGCTTTACCCCCTTCTGAAAGTTGTCGATGCTATAAGTCTGAATAAGGGTTTTAAAACCCTTATATATAACAACAACAGGGGGGGACGACTTCTGTACAAACAAGCATACCTAAGTCTCCTTTCCTATTATGAAAACTTAGATATCAACCGTTATAAGTAAATCACACCAAATAAGTTGGAAAATCACAATCCAACGGTATAAAAATCATACTCCTAATTAGACCACCAAATTGTAAAGTACAAACCCAATCCATCAAGTATCAATAATTATATTACAATCCTACTTTAGAAAACGTAGTGCATAGAACCATAAAATAATTTTTATTATTTAAATATATATATATAAATTCCAACATGCATGTCTTTGGCAATGTGTTACATATAGGAGTGGCAATTTGTGTTCGTGGGTTGTAATCGTGTCGTGTCAATTTAAGGGTATTATACTTAACAGCTCAACCCGAACATGACCCTTTTAATAATCGTGTTAGGAACTTTCAATACTAACCTGACCTGTTTATTAAACAGGTTACACGTGTAACCCGTTTAATGACCTATTTACAAAAAAAAAAAAAAAAATTATATTATTTAAATTATTAATATTACTCAATAAAATAATATATACTAAAAAAATATATAAGTTTTAATCAACCAAATTACTAAATAGTTTCTAATTTATAAAAGATTAAATTATAAGACACAAGTTTATATAGTAATTTTAGAACTTAAATACAAATTTATTTACAACATATATAGTTAAACGTATATAAATGGGTAATACGGGTTGAACCCATCAACCTAAACACGACACGATTAATTAAACGGGTTAATCGTGTTGACTCGTTTATGACCTAAACCCGTTTAAGGTAAACCCAAACCTGTTTAACTTGTGTCGTGTTCAAGTCGTGTTGGCGGGTCATGTCAACTTTTGCCACCCCTATTTACATACACTATGTCAATATTAAGTGTCAGTTTAAGATTCACATACTATATATCAAAATTGTACTTAATTTCTTTTCTTTGCAAACATTCTCTCTCAGCCAAAACCAGAGAAAAAGTAAATTCCCCTATATTACAATAACATGATACCATATATATCAAAAAAAATTAATGTAAACAAATATTTCAATTTCATTCCACTTCCTCAATTTACAATAAGATAAAGAAATCCTATAACTTTGTTTATCTTATTGCAAAGATTTCAATTCCATTCGGTTTCCTCATATTTAAGTAGGATTAAATAGATTAAAAAAACTTAGTGGATAAATAGATTAAAATTTTTTGTTTATCTTATTGCAAAGATTTTCTCAGCAACCAAACAGAGGAATTTCCTAACACTTAATTTCAACTCTTTTGAACTAAGTTCAAGAACTCTTTTGGACTAATTTCAAGAATCAAGACTAACTCAAAAAAAAAAAAAAAAAAAAAAAAAAAAAAAAAAAAAAAAAACCATATTAAACACGCTAGAAAATGGTAAGGGCTAGGGCTAACACACACTTGGTTCGGAGTTTGGAGAGCTTGCCGTCGACGATGAGGGCGTCGGCATTGGCGGTTCCAGTGGACAGACCTCAAGTAGAGAAGTGATTTCCAGGTGATCGATGAGTTGATGAGATCGAAGCTTTCTATTCACGAAAACAAAATTGAACAAATCGAAACCGAAGAACACTTAAAAAAATATTAAGTCGAACGTCTAGGGTTTCAAAGGCTTACACTACTATGAATTGAGCCTCTTCTTCGTAAGTCGCCTCCAAAATCGCCAGAGCTTAGGGCTGCATAGAAGAGAGAAATTTTCGGGCCAAATGGACTACAATATTTTAACTTTTGCTTTTATACATGGGCCAAAATGTTGCAAGTAGTTTAATTTTATTTGGACCGCTACAGTTGTGTTTGGCCCCTTACAGTATTGAAACATCCAAAAACACCAATTTCTTGTTTCAATTTCTAATTTGTGAAATGTTTTGATACTGTGCAAAACAATCAGCCCACTACCAAACATGTTGCAATCCACTTTTTCAGCTACAGTGCCCAACCTGCAACAAAAACACTAAAACAAAGCAGATACCAAATAACCTCTTATATAATACAATTGGTTGATGACACAGATAACAAAATATTAAAAGTGTGGGAAAGTTTACGGACTCTTTTATCAAAAAAAAAAAATGTTAACATTGGCGTTCCAATTTCCACCTCTTATGCTCCATTTTCTTTAAGTATTAAAGTAAATCACTATTTTATCCTCATCCAAATCCTTTCTTCAAGAGAAATTCTATGTATCTATATATCCATGTTAGTGTCCTGATGGAATTGACAGAGAAGGGGACGAGACGAGACGTGACTGGAGAGAGAACTCTTAGGTTATGGTAGCATAAATGGTGGGTTTGGGTTGGAGAGGATAGGTAAAGACAAAGTCGGGGATTCCAAAGGGATGCATGAGAACTCGTCCGAGTAAACGTTGGATCGGAGTACTTGTGTTTTGGGTGTCTAAGCCAACAGCGGATTCAGAAATTGTCAATGGGGAAGGCTAATATTTCTTTGAGTGAGCTAATACTAATTATTTTATTTTATTTTATTTTTTGGCTTGGCTAAAATTGGGTATAGAAAAAATATATATATTTTTTTGGGGTGGGCTTGAGCCAACCCAAGCCCACCCTTGGATAAATATTTTCCTCTAGCTCCATGAGGTGAGTATGACACCATTTAATTCATAATGTATCTAAGTCACCAGTGTATAAATCCCAAATATATCTAAGAATGCTTGCTTTGTTTGAGAGCTCTAGTTAGGGATCCCCAATCCATCTACTTGTTTGGGCCTGCAAACATTTCTTCAAACAATTTTTGCACCTGTGGATTTCAGTTCAGGGTCTGGCCATAAAAAAGATCTGAAGATTCTATTTAGCTCATTTAGAGCGCGCTTTGGCAAAATGAAAATGCTACTCCAGTATAGTTGAGTAGAAACCAAAATAGCTTTCATGAGTTGTAGTCTTTCAGCATAGGACAATGACCTAGCTGACCAATGAGTAATTTGATTTGTGATTCTGTCAATAAGAAGGCTGCAATGTGAGAATTTTAGATTTTTAGTGATCAAAGGCACACCAAGGTACTTGACCGAAAGAGTTCCAACTTCAATTCTAAGTAAGGAAATTGTATCATCTTTTTTGTGGTGTTCTACTCTAGAGAAGAAAACTGAGCTTTTGCATAAATTAATTTGGAGACCAGAAATGGCACAGAAGTGGTCAAGTGCATATTTCAATTCTAAGTAGGAAATTGTATCATCTTTTTTGTGGTGTTCTACTCTAAGAAAACTGAGCTTTTGCATAAATTAATTTGGAGACCAGAAATGGCACAGAAGTGGTCAAGTGCATATTTCAATACTGACACAGATGTTACTAGATTTTATAATGTTACAACTAAGGTTTTCTGCTCAAGCTTTAGGCAAAACAGACCGTTGGTTGGTCATTGTAATACATGACTATTTTAAGACTTTAAAATCTAAAATTGTCCTTTTTCTGCGTATTGAAGAAGGCAGAGAGAAATGCTTGGAATCCACCACGTTCTTCGAAGAACCCATGGTCGAAAGACTCACAAATCACTACCGATTCACCGAATATGCAGAAAGAGAGAGAGAGAGACGTGATCGATCTTTCTGTATAGGGAGAAAGAATGTAAATTGAAGAGAGGAGGGAGAAAGAATGTAAATTGAAGAGAGGACCGAGTTATATGTGAAGTAACGTTCGTTCAAGACCAAATAAAGCATCTACGCACGGCGAAACACCGTGTATAGCGTTGCTCATTTTAGTCTTTTTACAATTTAAGATGTGAGTAATGCTCATAAGATGTTCCTATAATGACTCACTTTATTAAATCATTGGATGGAACAATTTTTTTAAATGTATGAAAAATCAAATCAAATATTTAATACATCTAAGTTTTAAAAAATAAGCGCATTCAGGGCTCTTCATAAGGAGACTCTTGAAGCATTATTCTTACGATATTTTAAATTATATGGACAATTTATATTTTTCACATAAAGTCACTAATTCACGACCTAGTTGAGAGGAGCGAGGAGTGATAAATAAACGAAGAGATTAATTTTAGACCTGTCAATAGAGCGAATCCTGATCCGGATCCGGTCCGAATATGATCCAATTAGTCGAATATAGATTGAAAAAAAAAATCCAATAACCCGATTACGATTTGAATCCAATAATTCGTTAACCTAACAAATCGGATATGAATTATGCTGATCCAATCCAATAATAATCCGATTTGATCCAAATAAAATTATATATATAATTATTTATCAATAATTTTACGTATATTTATATATTTATATATGATGTTCTAATTCACGTACTAATAAATCTCTTAATATACATATTAACAATATCCTACTCTTTATTTATTAACAAAAAGTAAATAATCTTTTTTCCATATCCTTTCATATTTTACTTATCTTTTATTTTATATCTTTTTCTTATAATCATTATTTTTTTAATTTCTTTTGACATTAATTTATATATATATTTACATTTATGAAAAAACTACATTTTTTTCGGATTACATCGAATTAATCGGATTAAATATCTATTTATTAATAAATCAGATTCAGATCACCTTAAAAAATATCCGTCCAATTATAACTAAAAACTTATCAAATTGGGATCGGATCAAGCGTAAATCCTATCCATTTACATGTCTATCATTATATGCCGTATATGCATACTAGGGTTGTTTTTTCCTTATCAAGAAACAAGCGTGGATCGCATGAGTTGTTTTTTATTCAAACCAACCTACGATGATCATCCACCGTTTAATTTTATTCAAACCGTCAGACGATGCAGACATCCCTCTATATTTAATCCATTTAAGTGACTAGCAGTTTCTCCACACAATCATATGTAGTCACCGTCGACGGAGACAAAAACGTTGTTAGAGCTCTGCGGCCACCGCGTTTCCCTGTCGAAAGCCACAACTAGTAGGAGGTCAATGGATAACCAATCAGCGTCACTCCCTCCTCACGTGCTCATCTTCCCTTTGCCGATGCAGGGTCACGTCAACTCCATGATCAAACTCGCCGAGCTTCTCTGCCTCTCCGGCCTCCACGTCACCATGCTCGTCTCCGACCACAACTACGATCGCCTCCAACGCCATGCCAACATCCAATCTCTTTTCGATCGCTACCCGGGTTTTGGTTTCAAGACCATCACCGATGGCCTCCCCGACGACCACCCACGCTCCGGCAAGAAAACTATGGACATCGTGTTGTCTCTCAAGGTCATCGGAAAATCACTCTTCAGGGACTTGATGGTTTCCACTGACCGCCTCGGCTCCGCCGGCCACCGGAAACCGTTGACCTGCGTCATCATGGACGGTGTCTTGAGTTTCGCCGCTGAGGTTTGTGATGAAATGGGAATTCCGTTCATCTATTTCCGTACCGTTGGAGCTTGCTCCTTCTGGGCCAATTTCTGTATTCCCAAAGTCATTGAAGCAGGCGAAGTTCCCCTCAAAGGTATATTTCATTATTGTTTGGTTCGCGAGAAAATACTCAAGGAAAATAATGTTTTTTATTATTTGTTCAGGAAAGGGGATTGACGTACAGACGTATAAAAGGAGAGAAGAAATGGAATTACCAGTAAAGAGTGTTCCGGGGATGGAGGGTTTTCTCCGGCGACGTGACTTGCCGGCGTTTTATCGAGTGGACGAAGTGGATGACCCTGGTTTCCAAACCATCAGTACTGAGACCAGACGATCCACTAGAGCTCGAGCCCTGATTCTCAACTCCTTTGAAGATCTAGAAGGACCCATTCTCAATGAAATCCGTAATCACTGTCCAAATCTCTACTCCATCGGACCACTCCACGCCCACCTTCAATCCCGACTAGCATCAGAAAATTCGCGGTCGTCGTCGTCGTCGTCGTCGAATTCCTCCGGTAGTTTCTGGGAAGAAGACCGTAGCTGCATGACGTGGCTCGATTCACAGCCGTCCAAATCTGTGATCTACGTGAGCTTCGGGAGCGTCACGATCATGACGAGGGAGGAGCTGTTGGAGTTCTGGTATGGTCTGGTGAACAGTGGGCAGCGGTTCTTGTGGGTCATGCGTCCGGACTCCATCACCGGAAAAGATGGGGAGCGTCAGATTCCGATGGAATTAGAAGAGGGCACGAGAGAAAGAGGATACATGGTGGGTTGGGCCCCACAGTTAGAGGTGTTGGGCCACCCAGCAGTTTTTGGGTTTTTGACTCACAGTGGATGGAACTCCACTTTAGAGGGTATAGTTGCTGGAAAGCCTATGATTTGCTGGCCCTACTTTGCGGATCAGACGATTAATAGTAGGTTTGTGAGCGAGGTTTGGAAAGTTGGTTTGGATATGAAAGATACTTGTGAAAGGGTCATAGTTGAGAAGATGGTCAAAGATATGATGGAGGTGAGAAAAGATGAGTTTGATCAACGGTCCGATCAAATGGCGAAGTTGGCTGAACGAGCTGTGAGCGAAGGTGGGACATCTTACAATAATCTGAACCGTCTGATTGACTTCATAAAATCAATGGAGTGTGTCAGACTGTCAGTAAAATGATAAAGAGTAGTGCTGTAATAAGTTGTTTTATTCAATGATTCTCAAGTCAAGTCAAATGAGTACTTTTATCATTTTCCAATAAGATGTTATATAAACAGTTACAAATTTTTGCCTTCCAAGAGACTAAATGCAGAGTGTGGTGGGATGCGTTGCCGACAAAAGCAAAAGAAGGGAATAGTATTGAATAATTGAAAAAGAGTGAACTGAAATTTTGGGCTACCCTAACGTGGATTAAATAAGTAACTTTTTATAGAATAAATGTACGCAATTCCTTCCCTTAAGAGGATATTAAAATGTTAGACATTGACGTCTAAATAGTAAAATATTTTTTTATTTTTTTAATATTTAACTGTCGTAAAATATTTACAAAAATAAAAAATTAATAAAATTTAACAAAAATAATAATTTATTTTTTAATTTTCGACAAGTTATTTTATAGGCAAAAGTACAAAATACCCCCCGACGCGAAGTTTATTCCATCGAGCAAAATACCCCCCTTAAGTAAAAAAATGAACAACTTAGTTATAGTTGTTCTGAAATTGAGCACTTTGCCACGTGACTCAGGCTTTTTAACTAATTTCAAAATTACCTTTCAATATGACGATTATACCCCTCCCCTATAAAAAAAAGCTTTTGCATCCAACCAAACTTTATACATGATCGTAGTTATACAGCTATATATACACACATATACATCTCTGTTTTTGTAATATTTAATTTAATTTTTGAGCTAAAATGGAGAAAATCTTCGCCAACTACAAGCTCAAAGCTTGTGGTGTAGTTTAGGTCTCAAAGTGTGTTCCACTTTCTCTCTCTGGACCTCTTTTTCTTCTCTCTCTAGAATGAGTTGCAGGAGGATGATTACGGGGAACTTGGATCCAAAGAGGAAGAGGAGTAGGGCATTGAGGATGAAATAGGCGGGGAGAGGATCGTGCCGTGGAAGTTAGGCTGGAAAATCTGAGTTGCTGGAAAATTTGTGATCTCCAGCACTAAACTTTTTATATCTATCTGTTACCCTGCACGGTCATCTAATTTCTGTTTGTTGATTCACTGTTCCATCAAAGTTCAAAGTTTCGTCGCGATTCGGACCTATGGGGTATCTATTGAAAGAAGCTTTGAAGACTCTCTGTGCCAATAACCAGTGGTCTTATGCTGTTTTCTGGAAGATCGCTTGCTAAAACCTTAAGTCAGTGTCCTCTCATATTTTTTATGGTTAAAAAGTCCGGAGGGGGCACCTGATATTAATTTATTATTGAGCTGTGTTAACGGTCTGTTTGGTACAAGATCATATGTTGGAAAAATATATGCTTAATGTGACTTTTAAGATATAACAACCCTTATACTAATATGTCATGAGATAATTAACAATATGCTAATAAATCATTAATTAAATATGCAACTCTATATTTAATTAAATATGCAAAATAAAGCAATAAAATAATAATAATATGCAATGAATGAACCTGAACCGAGGCTAGTATTGGATACTATGTCCTTGAGACAGATTCGCCCCGCTATGGTGCTAACGGACTCAGTGGCGTCTATCTCCCAGGATACAACGGTCTACATCCACCAGTAGCAGCACTACAAACTCGTGGATACGACGAACCTTCTCTGTGTAATACTCTCTCTGACTCAAAAATGCATCTATATACTATATAAATGCTGAATTTGGTGTAATCCGAACCAAATGGTTCGGACCAATCTTAATATGGCTCGATGAAATTGGATTAGGTTCGAAGTGGCTCGAACCACTTAACCTATGGTTTGAACCCACTTGGGTTGGGTTCTAGTCTAGAGAGGGAGATAGAAGAAAATGAAAAAATGAATTAATTGCAAATGATCCAAAAGGGGGGTACTTATAGAAACAGAAACGCCTTTTCGAATGGAGTATGTCTTTTCATCATTGGACACAACCATTGCAATAGGTTGCAATGGTTCACATGGTGTCTATTCACCACTAGACACATCCATTCCAATAGGTTGCAATGGTTCACATGGTGTCTGTTCACCAATAGACACATCCATTCCAATAGGTTGCAATGGTTCACATGGTGTCTGTTCACCAATAGACACATCCATTCCAATAGGTTGCAATGGTTCACATGGTGTCTTTTCGAGTGGGTACAACCATGGGTTATGATGGTTCGGAAAAAAGTGTAACCCTTTGAAAAAAAAAAACTAAAAAGTGGTTTTTTAATTTAAAAGGTGTAACCCTTTAGAAAAACTAAAATATGGTTTTTTAATTTAAAATGTGTAACCTTTTAGAAAAACTAAAAAGTAGTTTTTTTTAATTCAAAAAGCCAACCACCCAAAAAACCCACTCATTTGTGAAACCCATTTAAATAAGCCCAGCCCAAAATTAGGCCCAATCCAAAATTCCAAAAAAGAATAATCTGGACTTTACAATTAGGCCCAAGCCCAAGCCCAAATCCTAAACTCAGCTTATTTAAATTTCAATTTGTTTCAACATTTTTTCCATGTGGGACAAACACTTCCCACATTTTGCATACCTATTTAGGCTTATCAAAACACCACACTTTGGAGCTAATTTCTCATTCATCCGGAAACGAATTTCAGAAAGTAAATATACCACATTCATCTCCTTACGGAGAGAAACGCGCTTGTCTAGAGATCAGTAAAAAATTATTAACGGAATCTATTTCAAATCTCATCCAAAGTTTATGTTTTTAATGACCCCGTTTCCAACAATCCCCCACATGAATGGAAATTTGCGTAAAATGCAAAAGATGATCATGCAGACACTAGAAAGAGTATAATCGAAAAGTTACTGCATCAGGATAGGTGGCTTTTGGCTTTGAACCATCCCTAGTGTATTGCTATCGGATTTACTGGCTAACCAGTGAACGCGATGTCTTGAACTGTTCAGCCGTTTGTGTAAACCAAGACAATAACAAACACACAGTAGCTTTCCTCACAAAGTTGGTTCTCATTGTTGTGTTCATTTTGGCCCTGAACAAGTCATGGTATTCAATGAGTGCTCTAGAAAACTTAGCCTTTATAGTTCTCATAGAAGCGGCCCCACTTCACACTCATATAGGTGACTTCTTATTAAGAGTATCCTACCAAACCCCACTTGAATTTTCAAGGTATAAGAGTCATTAAAAGCGTAGCTTATCCTGATCATCGCTGTAGGTAGCACTGTCTCATCATAGAAATGGGTAGAAAATTTATATCTTCCTAGTGCTTCTGGTGAGTCACTCAGAATTTCTGTTGTCCCTTTGAACCTAGATCTTGGGATCTCCAATCAACTAGGTTGGGTTTCCATTAAGGTGACTCGTTAGCTTTCGGCTTTAAACCCCATTCCCCTCGATGAACTGTACAATTGCTCTCTAGTACAACCTTCAATTTTATATGTGGCCACAAGGTTGCGTTTAGAAATATTACACTCTGCAGAGATTTCTCCAGGTGAGAGCAACTGTATACTTTGTGCCCTAAAATTGCTTATTGTTAGCAATATCATTTTCTTTAGTGGCACAGGTGTAGACTTACTTTGAATTGTCCTCTAGGTGAAATCTATTGACTTCCCTATTTGATTTATTCAAAGTTTCTAACTTTGAGTTATATTAACAACATAGAACTACATCTTTAATATAAAAGACATATCCACTATTGGATTTGAAGTCTTTAATATCCCATATCCAGATTGTATCACTGTTACACCTCCAATTTAGTTAGATACCTCGATCTATGCAATATTGGATTTAGGGTGTATCTCAACTATCCAATTCATTGTTTTTTAGTGATCCGATCCTGGATTGAAAATGTGCAATTAAACACAATTATTAAGATGCCTTGCAATCTCAATCAATGATATACTTTGGCTAGTATTTATATTTGAGATTTACATTTACAAAAGTTAGCTAGGCTTTTGTTATCATAACTAGTATTATCTCAATCTCACTCTATTGAGAATATACTATGTTATTAGATGTTAAATCTTTCATATCAAATATACTAATTAGTATATCATTAATTTTTTTTTAAGGCATACAATGACTTATACATCACATTTATGTCATTGTCTTGGTACTAGCTTTAATCCACTCAATGACTTATAAGCTTGCACACTTTACTCTTCAACTAGAACATATTAATCGGCTCTTCCGCTGGAAAAAGAACTTTTCTAGTTGTTCCATAATATTTTTCTCATAGGAAACAACATGCACTATTGTTATAATACTATAAATGATTTTTGGTTCTATCCAAAATTTCTTAGGATTAAGAACCCTACATTTATAAGTATTTCTTATTTGGTGAGGTAACTCATAGCAAATTTTATCTATGGACAATATCCCCCCACAACTTTGAGATAATCCTGAAGTTTTATCTCTAATGTATTTATTATGATTTTTCAACTATGAAAATACCATATATTAAATACTTCACCTCATCTACCTTTTCAAGGTTCCATATTCGCTTCTCAACAAGCATATATAATAGTCTCTAGTGCATATGTACTCACTTTATCTTTAGCATATTCTTATAATAATTTACCGACATTACCGTGAATTAATGCTAAAGATATTAATTACAATGGGTTCTAATTAATATTTGCTTTTACTTCTTTTATATTTGTAAATTGAGTTATTCATGTTTAGGTTCATGTTAAGTCAGTCATATTAACATGTTATAACATTTCATGTGTCACACATCACATAACTCAATCATTTAAGCAAATAATTATCTTATTATTTAAGCTTTGGATACAATCACCACAGAGTGAGCACTCACTTCTTAGCTATCATTACTAGTCAAAAGTGAGTTCTTAACTATCATTACTAGCTTAGATTAAGTACACTCTTCTCATATTTCACTACTAGGTTATGATGAGCACCCACTTTTTAGCTATTACCGCTAGCTTGAAGTTAAGTTTGTTTAGCTATCAATTCTAGTAGTTCATAATTTTAGTACACACTTATCTAAGTAGTCTACCTTGGTAGTAGAGTAATTTGTTTTAAAGAATATTCTTCAAAAACTACTACTTTATAAGTAGTATTATTCCCTCCTACATGAGCAGATATGATGAATAGCTCAAATAGCTTATGGCTAAAATAGCTA